CCCCCCCCAATTTTGTCTCTAGAAACAGCTCCATACTGTAAGGTGTACAGTTTGTGTGGCTGTGAGTACTCATGGTTGAGAACGCCCCTTGTGTTTGACCACCACTGAACATTACGAACGACGCGTTAAAATGTGTCCAAAGGAGGACATATTAGACAATTGGTTCTCAGAATTCCTGAATTAAACAAAAAAAACCCATTTTTTAAAACCCTGTAGGAGAAAATAAACTTGTTTAAAGATAACAGGGATGGAAAGATTTGATTTTAGAAATAAAAGGAAAGGGAAAAACAAAGCAATCATTTCCTGGCTTTTGCATTTATAGGTGGTTTTTACAAAAGCCATTTCCATTTTCTAAAATAAGTTTCTTCTTTGTGAATTTTATGTCAAACAAATTCCTTTTGAATGAATGATAAATGTTCCAAATTACAAGATTCTAGTACAACTTTTGTGCGAGATATTTTTTTAAAAAGTTGTACAGTTTTTTTTTATCACCCTGTATTATGATGTTGTTGTGGGCGTAAGAACACTTAATGAAGTTACATTGTTGAGATAACTCCATTGTGTTAGTTTGTATATTATCTTTAAGTGGGGCTTTGTGAGGAACAACGACTCTTCAAGTCCACGCCAGATATCGTGAAATTTTAGGAGGTCATTGCACTATAGATCAAGGTAACTGAGCTTGGCATACTGCCTGGCTATTGTAAATCAATGTCGATTGTGTGTGTGTGTGTGTGTGTGTGTGCACGTGGTGAAACACCAAACCAATGTGCCAAGATCTGGACAATAAAGATTTATCTTATCTTATCTTATCTTATCTTATCTTATCTGATCTTATCTGATCTGATCTGATCGGATTATCTTACCTTATCAGTTTTCTGCCCGCGTCTGATGGCAGAGTGGAGCGAGACGCCCCCGCCTCCAAAAATAGGTCTAGTCTAAGTTGAGTTGATGAGGGTGTAAAATATTTACAATCTTTGAGTCTTCCAGTCTCTCCGACTCTGGTGACGTGGCAGAAGGCGGCGTGCGGCAGGAGAGGGTTGTGTGAGCGCTGAGCATCAAATATACATGTGTCGTCCTTGTGGTTACCCCGTGACGGTACTGTGCATGCATAGCTGGTGCAGGAGTGGGGAGGAAATCAATGAAGATGTGGTGGTTCTTTTTAGTTGACTGTGAGCTGACCGGCATCTGGGGTGTAACGGTTATGAGGGATGCCCACTAACTACTACGTACGGCTGGATCGGGCCGATCGCCCCGATCGCCCCGACTCCATCGCCTGATACTGAAAACAAACACGTTTGTAGGCTACCTAGTCGGGCGATCGCCCCGACCCGCCGATCCCATCCGTAGTGGGCACTCCGTATAAAGCTCTGGGGTGTTACGTTCAATAGGTGTGGGTTCAATTCTGACCCTAGGTAACGAATATTATGGTTTTGTTGCATGCACCCACGGGAAGGGGAACTGGGGGAAGAGCGGAAAGTGGAAAGGGAGGGGGGGGGGGGTCAATGAAGATTGCCTGGGTGGTTGGCGGGTGCTCTGGTGTGGTTTGCTCCTTCTTTCCTATCAAACAACTATCGTCCTGATCTCTCCTCCTTCTTTTTTTGTGTATGTTACGCTCTTGTAACACCTCTATTCTTCGGCACCTATATGACCTTATTGTGTTGCAAGTGCCGTAAAACTCTAACTTACGAACAAAAAAAAGCAAAACAAAACAAAAGAAAAACAAGAAAACCCCCTGGGGTGTAACGGTTAGTCTCGGGGGCGTTACATTCAATAGGTGTGGGTTCAATTCTGATCCGAGGTAACGAATATGATGTTGTTGCATGCACCCACGGGAAGGGGCTGAGGGGGTGGGGGTCAATGAAGATTTTGAGTTGCCAAGACCTTGAGGTCCGAGACCAAATATGTTAATTCTATCTGCTGTACCAAAACCATCGGATTATTCGTCGTTGCTATCTCAAGATATTCAAACAATTGCTTTCCAAAAAGCTGGACAATTTGTGAGTCTCCAAATCTTTGACGTCAAATTTCTCAAGACTGTGTACTGAGCAGATCATCAATGACTTTCACCCCTGGCAAGGTATAGGCCACATACAAGCTCCTTCCATTTATCTCTGTCCTGGGCCATCCTTCCTAGCTCGTTCCAAGTAAGCTTCATCTCCCTCATGTCCCTTTCCACACATCTCCTCCATGTTTCTCGTGGCCTACCCCTGCCTCGTGCTCCCTGTGGGTTCCACTACAGCGACTGTCTTGTGATATTTCCGCTGTGTTTTCTGAAGGTGTGTCCCATCCAACGCCACTTTCTTAGTCCCATTTCTACTTCTATATCCTTTTGTCCTGTCCTTTCCCATAGCTCTTCATTTTTGCCTTTTAATTTTTAGGATAGTACTGAGCAGATAGAACGTTTTTGTAATTTTGAGGTAGCGACTAGAGGATTATGGGAGTATCTGGGGAGACTGTAGTTTTTAATCAATCGTCTGATTAATGTTGTTGTGACCTGTAGATCCATAGCGGCCTGTCGTGGTTATAATGAATGACTGGGGACTTGAGACAAAGCATCGTGCTGGCGTGCGTGCGTGTTTGTGTGTGTGTGTGTGTGTGTGTGTGTGTGTGTG